ACGTTTGGCGTCGAAAAAAAAATGCCCGCACTGAATATAAATCCTGGCTCCACCCCTGGGTGCAGAATGTATCAGAGCAGGTTTTGGAAGGAATATTTTTTAATGGATAAGAATCTACTAGTCACACTCATGGCATGAGGAAAGTAAGTCCTCATGCACATCACTCCATACAGTATAGGCAACAACTACTTTTGAGTATGGTATCCCATTCAACTCTGCTGCTTCCACTTTGTTCTTTGCAGGCTGAGCTTAGAATAGTTCAGTGTAAGACTCAGGCGAATGATACATTGACAAGCTTTGTCTAAGTCACTTCGAATTTTTCTTTGATATTTAAATGTACTATTTGCACGGTATTTGCATCCACATTTAATATATCAACTTTGGATATAAATTTCAGTGTCAGTGTACCTAGTTCTAATCTTCATTTCATTATTAGCTACAGAAGATGTTCATTATTAGAACTGGTCTTCCTTTGTTACGTGCACCATTTTTAATAAATCTACATATCTTATTTGTAATGCTATTCTTTTTTAGGGTAAACATTGTTAAAGGAAAGAAACATTCTGTTAATAGATGAAAAAATTCCTCAGACAAGTAAGAAATCATCGAATAATAATGCCCTAAGAAGAGCGAATTCAAGTGCCAATGACCGGCCTTCAGAACCTGTTCAGATTCCACTTGCTATACATGCAAAGATTTGGTAGAAATGCAAAAACTCTGCATGTAGAGCTGTTCTTCACATTGGAGAAAATTTTTGCAAGAGGTGCTCGTGCAGTATTTGTCAATTATTTGATGAAAATAAGGATCCTAGTCTTTGGTTTGGATGCACGGCTGAATCAAGTGGAGTAGACTCATGTGGGTTGTCATGCCACATTGAATGTGCCCTCAAACACGGAAAGGTGATACAGTTGGATGACACATACTCTCGTGCTTCTTATGGTAAAGTTTCAGAGATACTACGGTAAGTTATACAATAGCATTTTGTATTCGATGATTCAGAGATACTCCGGTAAGTTATAGATTTCTGTGTATCTGATTTTTTTTTCTTATTATTACATGGGGATTGATCATTGCAGATATTGGAAGAAGCAAGTGGTCAAGGCTAAGGATGCTCGCCAAGTTGATGTCTTAAGTTATAGAATATTATTGAGTTACAGACTCCTTGATGACACTTGTAAACTTAATGAACTCTACAAATTGATTAAAGCTGCCAAAGTTAAATTAGAATTAGAATTGGGTCCACTAGATGGACATTCATCCATGAGGTCTCGGGGACTTGCAAGTAGACTCTCTGTTGTACGGATGTGCACACACTCTGCACTCTTGCAATCAAACGAGCTGACGAATTGCTGGCCTCAAAACCAAGTAGGTTCCTGAACTATATCATCACATTGTTATTTTAATTTTAGTATATCATGAGACGGAAATTGTGATGTCCGAGGATTGGAGCAATTTGTGTTTCCTATACTGACAGATCCTCCCTGCGAGTTTGACTTAAATGTTTCTTTGGTTCCTAATCAAAATGAGGAGCTACCAGTTCCAGAAGAGTCCTCGAGAGATGAAAAGAGAAATGCATGTCAACATGTTGAAGTAGCTAATAGAGAAATGCTGGATTCTACTAGCACTCCAACAAATAAATTACAATGCGTAATCTGCAATGTCCCGGGAAATTAGACGAGGATTTTCAAAACTGCATAAAGGTTATTCATCGACTGGAATGTGAAGGGCATATCAAAAAGGAATTTAGGTTGAAGATGTTCACATGGTTCAGCTTAAGATCGACAGAGGCTCAGCATCAAATAGTCCGTACTTACGTACTTTAACAGATGATCCAAGCAGTTTAGCTGGACAATTGGTAGACACATTTTCTGTTGTCATATCGAGTAGCAGACAATGAAATGACTGCTGAAGGTAAGATATGGCATTAAATCATTTGTGGTAATGGACAAAGAATCCATCAGTCACTTGAACGATTATTATTCCACTAACGTAATATTCTTCTTGTTCTTTTCTTACATGATTTTCTTCAAGTCACATTTATCAAATTTCCATTGCGAAGACAGTAGTCATTTTTCCATCACTAGAAGACCCAAATTTATGGACATTTATGAATCATTTCAATAATTAGAACCTTTTCAATTGAATTTGAATTACCTAAAAACTTGTCATTTTCCGTCAAATACTTCTGGTAGTACATCTTTCTGTTGATTGTAGAATTGATGCAGGATTGCTGTTTTAAACTTTTCATAGGTTCAATATATTGATATGGTTCCATGTGTTCTGAAATTTTGTTATATTCCCTTGTCTGAATATTTCTATGATTATGTGGACTAATGTAGTTACCATAAATTTCTGCTTCATGGCGTGAAAAAATTATTTTGAAATGTGAGTATTGGTCCTCCTAACACTATAGGGTTGGTGTTATTTATGTCATTTGTCTTATGACTTATATTTGGACCATTAGTTGCCTAGGTGTCACTTACC